AACGACACCGACTACGACAACAATGTTGAAAATCTGCAAAAAATCAACAAACACTTGCATAGAGCAACATCTACGACCGGTACGTATCGCTACGTGTTTCGTTGCTTCACATGGTTATATTCGTCGGTGGACGCGCGTATTTTATAAATTCAATGTTTAGACCAATAAATGGGTAGAAGCGCAGAACCTGCGATTAAGATACGAAAGAGTAAAATGTTGTTTTCCATTGCAGAAGCACGTCATCGCTATCTCGTCGAGACGATAACCATGACCACCGTAACGGAACGGCGAATAGTTCGCGAAATCAGCGAAGAAAACGGATGTATCGTTCAACGGGAATGTACGAGCCTATCGAACGATGAAAATGCATGCAATAAGGAAAGTGTTTCCAAAGAGGTAACTGCCTGTCACGAGACGGCCAACGATATTACGAATCCGACTGAACGTATCGAACGCAACGAAGAAACTTCAACGTGTCTGAATGTTGCCGATAACCGTGGCGGAACGACGTCGACAAGATCGATCAGAAACGAAATCGTGGAGGGCGGTATCCACGAAGATCGTCTCGGTGAAACCGAAGCGTCGTCGGACATAAAGGAACTCTCTCTTGTATTCAAAATCGGCAACACTTCTTTAGCGTGTAACAGTTTCAAGCCGAATTCTGCCGTCAGACAATTGTTCCCTAATCCAAAGTTCGTGTCACCGCCTCCAGCTCCACCTGGCAAGTTGTCCGTATCCTCGGCAAATTCTCCCGACGATTCGCACGACAATAGTCTTGGATTATTCGCTTCCAGTGAGAATACGCGTATACTCGACCCTGTGAAGAGATCTAAAACCTTTGAAAATCACCACTCCCATTCGTTCGACGACGACTCGGATTTGATTAAAAGAACGATCGAAAGGAACACACTCCGGCGAAGTCTTCTCGACAAGTATCGTTCTAGCTCCCGCAAAAAGAACCCGCCGTCGAAGCATTTATCCTTAGAGGAACGGATACGTCAACTGACCTGCGTGGACCAAGAAGAGGAGGACTCGATCTGTTCGAATTCGATGGAAAACACGGATACCGCGATCAACGCGGACATTGACGCCGACTTATTGGAACGCGATTCGCCATCGGGACAGGAAGAAACTCCTGTATTTCCATCGAGCAGACCACTCGTTCGAAATGCGACTGCAACTG